ATCTTATCCCTGTCCTCTAGGGCCTCTTGTGCCCCCCATCTATCCCCAATTATCGCGATCGTTTTTTCGCTGTTGCCTAATTTACCAAACTTGTCCATGTCACACCCTCTCTGTCTCATTTCCTCCTCGAGATCCTCTCTTTCCTTCCTGTACAACTCACACTCCCCAACTATGTGGGGTCTACTCTCCTCCGATTTGCCACATGGACATGTGTGTCTATCCTCCTCTTCCTCTCTCCTACGGCTGGTATACCTCGTCCTCCGTTCTGGCAAGTCCAGATCGCCTACTCGAAATTGCAATTTCAGCTTTTTCGCGTAGTCCATGGGGCCGTCCAAATACGTCTTCATCCCTATCCCTTCTTTCAACTTCCCGCATATCTCCAAGTGGTCTTCGCTTCGTACCTTCTTCGGAAGGGTTGCCTCCTCCCTACTTTCTAGCATCTCCTTGACTTTCGTCTTGAACCGCCCGAACCCTTCCGTGTCCAACTTCTCCTCCTCGTCTCCTATCTCCTTCCAAACCTTCTCTACCACCTTATCCCATCTGATTCCCTTCTTCCCTGGAGTCGCTTTTCCCCAAGCTGCCTTGTCAACCATGGCTGGTAGTCTATCGCCCGACATTCTACTTACCTTGTACTGCCAATTCAACTTCTGCATGTCTCTCTTTGTTTTAAGAGAGTACATTCCCAATTCTGCTCTCAATACAGGGGGGGGGGGGTGTACTCATAGTCGTGCATGCCGTAGTCGTTTGACCATTGACCTCGCATCCCTACAAAGCCGGGACGGAGCACGCCGGGTCCTCACCGGACCAGGCTCTCACATCACCAAGCGCGAAGCGCCGTGAGGTATTTGGCGAGTCGCATGAAGGGTGAGCTGCCATCCTGCTAAGGGTGTTCGGCATCTTGTGCTTACTTCCTTGCGTACGGATGACAGCTGCGTATGACTTAATTTATTTTCTGGTGCTTTCACTTCCAGAGACAGTTGTAAGCACTGTGTAACTGCCTCGAGGATGCTTGACCATTTTAACACAACGTGGTGCGATTATCCCCCGTTGCGCGGAGTGAGGTTTCTCGACCCCGCACAACATGATCTACTCGACCACCATTATGGTTACCGCCAAAACAAAAAACCGAGGTAAAAAAAAAAACGGTAACCTGGTCGCCGAGTTCACGAAGTGAATTGGCTTGTTTTACAACCTCGTTGCCAAGCGACGAAAACCCAATCCCGATGGCAAACACCGAGTGGGGGGCTTGTTTTACAACGTCGTTGCCAAGCGACGAAAACCCAAACCCCGATGGCAAACACCGGGGGGGGGGGGGGATACTCGTTTGTTGCTTCTCCGTAGACCATTGAGTGGACGCATATCCTTGTTGAGACGCAAGATCATTCCACCTCCTATTCGACTGGCCCACCAACTGCTGTAGTTGCGAGTGCTCAACGCGCGTTTGGCACGGTCCAGTTGGCAAATATGGTTGGCAGCCTCTCACCTTAGCTGCGGCCGACTTCAGAGAGACGGCAGACCCTCCACCAAAATGGGACAGCTGGAAGATTAACGAACCCATGTTGTATTGTAATAGCGTGCCGATGTTGCAGGAGAACACGAAGCCAAAGACAGAGCGAAAAGGCCCATGAGGAATGAAAAGAGAAAAGAAGCTTGGTTATCCCTGGATTCTGGATACACATGGCCCGAGGGGCACGAAACACCGGCAAGCAGCGACCGGATAACCTTCATGTCTGTTCGGGACACTAAACAACATGAAAAGGAAACTATACATTTGAACTCAACTCCGAGTAGTAGTTTAGTACTATTTTCTGATCATTGGTGCTTACACGAAGCGGGCACCAAGCACGCATTAGACACGGGGAGGGACGAAGAGGCGACATCTGCTTCAGCGCGAACGGCACTTTCGTTCTTGGCGATCCGGAAAAGTGCAGCGTGTTTTGTTTTTTCCGCGAGCTTATTATTACGGAGGTCCGGGGCAAACCACAGCAGTGAAACGGGGCCGTTCAACGCAAGCAAGCGCGGACCGAGGATAATCTTTGAGGTACTTGTTGCATTGGCGAAGCAACAGGTCTCTCTATCTACGTAAGCGGAAATGGGTTCTTACAGATTTGCGTACCTTGAGTTCGTGCCGTGCGGCGTAGCGGTACATGATGGCCGCCAGGGTTGTCGATGCCGTTTTATGCGTCTTCACGAAAGCAACATTTGCAACCTAGAGACGCACGGTAGGCAAAGCGTGAGCAGTCTGAAAGCCGCAAGCAACAAGGTTTCAGTGAGCAATAGCACGCTGCTTCTGTGGTACTTTTGGAAAGAAACTTTGCTCCACGGTGCTTTGCTGCCCCCTTCCCATGTTCCACCTCTCAGTCAGTCAGGTATTCCGAAATTCAGCGATCGTCCAGATGGCTGCAGTCTCATCCACCAAGGCGCGTTCACGGTGTTCTTCTCCGCATGTCTTCAAGCGTGTTGTGGGGTAATAAACACGGAGAGATATGTACAAAATTCCACGCGAAACACCCAGCTTCTACATAGGATGCATGGCTAGCGGCGACAGGTGTGTCTCTTCTCCCAACGATCTTTGCCTTTTTCATGGTGTCATCGCCATCGGCACGTGGTGGAATTGTGACATCGTGTAAGTGTGAAGCAAGAAATTGTAAGCGGCTCTTTTCAGCTCTTCCTTCAACTAAACGCTAGTCGCAAATCGAGGACGAACTGGAAGGGTTTGAGCACCTTTTCCACCGCCAAAAAAGTCAACCGCACTGATTTCAATCGCGCTTCCTCAACCTCAACTGATGTCGACCTCATTGAATAGTAGCGAGTCCTCACTTGGCTATCGGTATCCAACATCGTCGCTTCCACCAACTCGTTCAAATAACTCCTCCTCGGTTTCATCCTCCCCTCCAGAGACGGATGATCTTGAGCGACGCCGCCAAGTCCTGCGCAATAAATGGAATGGGGTGTGTGCAGATTGCTTTTTGCACAACCGACCCAAAGGCCCTCCTGTCGTAGGAAACTCGTCCCCTCTTCATGCCCTATGGTGATGGTTCTTTCAGAGGACACAGAGATTTGTTCTCGCTGAAGCTTTGGTGGCATTTCTCAGGCCCGATAGTGTCGACGGTTCTGTTACACCGCGATTCTTTTTCTTCGCGCCCATTCCAACAACTTGGCTACATCAGGGTAACAAATTTTACAATGGAAGTCTATCATAGGTGATAGATGCAGGACAAGAACAACTCCGCCGTGGACGAAACAAATCGTGTGATTACCTTGGGTGGTCTCGGTGGCCTCATCACCCTCCGCGGCGAGCGATCTCTGCTGAGCGCTTAATGACCGGACGTGCTTCACCCCTAAGGTTGAAGCACCGCGGGAGAAAAAGGAGGAACGACACGATTTGCATTTGCTTGGAGTACGTTGTCGTTTCCCCCCCTTTTGCTGTCGTTGGCGTGCGTGCGGTACCTCTGACTGTTGTCGGAATGTGATCACCATTTTCCTCTCTCAAGGTCGTTGGCAGCAAATGTAGGAATCAGCAGTTTGGATGCTCGCAACAACGTGAAATCTCCTAAGAAACAGCCTTGAACGATGTGTTGTTTCCACGGTGCCTCACTAACGCTAGTTTTCTCTTTCGTCACCACTTAGCTAGGTATCGTGCTACACAACACAAAACACAAGGAAGAAGGACTCGGAAGTACCATGAAGAAGGCCTCGGAAGGATCTAAGTGTCAAAACTCCATCTACAGGAGAAATTTCGGAAGAAAACTCAACACTTTTTACCTAACAAAAGAACGATTTGCTCGGATTTGCAACGAAACTCGGCGATTCGACAGGGAGGTTGTGTTTCACGGTCGGTTTTTCACAGGGTGCCCTAAGCCCAAGAACGAACGGCATGTGTGTGAAGAGATTTTGACGTTTGTTTACACTCTGCACCTGGAACCCCGGAATGCCCACCTTGGGCGGCCTGCTTGTCTAACCAAAACATGGCTCCCTCCCAGTGCTGTTCTGCATCCGGGTGTGCGTCGGACGGTGCCAGCTGCTATATATAGTGACACCGCACACGTTAAAGCAAACATCATGTCGTACGGATGAATGGAGGATGGCAACACCCGCGTGATGTTGAAGGACGATTAATTGCATACACTCGGAGATCCAAGCTTGTTGTTGTCTTCACATTACTACCCGTTCCGGGCTCCGCTCAGCACCCCCTAATATCCGTAATGGGCCAACGGACGCGGACGCCAGGCGACCACGTCTAGACTACATAGTGTACACCTTTCTGACATGATGTGTCTAAGAAGTGAATTTTCTACAACAACAACGTAGTACAGGGACAGAATAAACGTGGAACCTGGAAAACGCTTACTACTCCGTACCAAATACCGACACGCCCTCTTGTACGAGAGGCTCAGGTTTTACCCTCTGTTCTTTGCATCACGCTGTATGTATGTAGACAACCCGGCAATATAGCTACTAAGTGCTGTTGTAATTTATCGAGTGACAGACGGAGCTGTCACAGCGTTGAGCTAGTATAGCCCTAAACCTACCGTCGCTTGACGTTAGCCTGGAAAGACTGCTCTCAATACAGTACATAATGTACATACAATAGTCAACCCTTCGCGTTCCAGACGACGCGAGATAAACTGCATACATATCCCAGGCTGTGCTTCTCGCCCAGAAGAAGAGCTGAATTGCAACAGTAAAAACACACGTGACACATGTATTGCACGGAAACTACGGGGGTTGGCTAAGCAGTTCAGTGTAGAGATGGACCATGCGTGAAGTCTACAGTTACCAGATACATACCCCCCCTTGCGTTAAAAAAGATACGATGACATCATCAGCAGCAAGCAAGCAGAGAACCTGTTGGAACCGGGTGGTGTGGGCATTGCACGCAGGAAGGCAAAGGCGCAGGAGGATATCCGACTACGTATGCATATATCACCTGCATATCAGGAACCCGTGTCCAAGCACCAGCTGGCAAGAATGGAGCTAGCAGCAGCAGCAGTAGGTTCAGAGGCCTGTCTCGTGTCATCATGCCGTTGGGATCAGTTTTTTTGTCGCCGACTAAAGTTTGGAGACAGTGCTTCCGCACAGATCCCAGCACAATATGCAGCCTCCGGCTGTGGCTGAGTACTACAATACCTGCGATAATCACACACACCCAGCTTGCGAGATATACGGGGGCAAACAGAGAAGAAGACAGTTTCTACTGAGCTAAGGGCACGGCAATGCCAATGTGATATGTTTGGTGTGTTCGGGTTCTCAAGACTCAAGATACAGCAGCAGTGGTCTACGCCCGTCAACCACATGCAAATATCCAAGTCCATTCGGAGAAGTCGGACCTTTTCGCAAAAAAAAAAAGTTTCACACAACCACACATGCAAAGGTTCTGCTGCCCCTCCAGGACTCCAGGACTGCATACGTAGCCGGTGTGTAGGAGTCCACCTGCTTCGGGTACCGTGTACGTTCAACTCAAGGAAACCACTTCCAGTCGCGCCACAAGCTATGAAAACAGGAAACAAGGTTCCACGACTCGACGCAGCAGTAAATAAAAAAAGAACAAGATGATTTACACGCTTGTATCCAACGATCCACAGACAGACCAGTATGGGCCCAGCAGTACATCTTCTGTGGATCCCTTGTGTGCAGCAGTAAATCATGGCGGTGGACCTTCCAAGATGAGCGACAGCATGTGCGTAGACAACAAATAGCCGTATGTAATATCGGCGTGTATCAGCAGGCCCCCGCCTTGGGCACCTTTTATAAAGCATTGAATGGTCTCCTGATATACCGCGGAGTACTGTAACAACAGTACTGTACAAGAAGTACCAGGTACCAAGCAAGGACCACCGCGCGGTAGATCGGGACACCGCACTATTGACTGTTGGGGAACATATAGCTTTCAGTATAGTAGCCAAATCCCGTGAAAAGCGATCCAACCGCGGTGTACCGGGTATACTTATTTATCGGGACCACCACTGTGTACCCAGGTGTCTAGACAACAGCAGCAATACATACACATACAGCAGCAGCAGTGTTTGGACCAGGGATGGGGATAACCGCAGATTTGGCATGTTACCTACCGGTAATAACCCCAAATAATCAGGAATTGATGTTACCTACCGGTAATTATACCGCTACCGCAAGGGGACGAAAATGCCCCGTCCCGGGGGGTTCCGTGTGTAGGTGTATTACCCCACGGGGGTTCTGTACCCCATCCCTGGGGGTTCTGGGTCTAGCTTTGTCCTTTGCTCTTCGCGTTCCTCGACGAAAATAAATAAATGTGGTTGTCGAGTACTGCCTTCTCCAAATCTATCTGTAGACTAGAGGTTCGGACGCATATTGGAATGTATGTATGGTATGCTGCCCTACACGCTACACCCTACCCTGCACAGCTGCAGCTACCACAGAGCCACAGAGTACACAGAACACAGACAGGAACCGAAAAACAAACATTCTCCATTCTCCGCGCCTCTCGTCGCTGAAAGGTATGCGGGGGCACCGCAAAAATAACCGCAAAATAACCGCGGAAAAACCATGTTACCTACCCGAGCACTATGTTACCGGTAATTACCGGGATGCGGTTATCCCCATCACTGGTTTGGACTACCTCTTCAGAATTAAATCTGAAGCGCGTCATACAGAGATGGTAGATGATCACGACAACGGCACGGGCTCCGTTTGTTCAGCTGCTGTGCACCACAAAAAACGGGCAACAGAACAACACCCGCGTGAGGGAGGGGGTATCCTCTGTCCGCTTGTAGACAAAAAAATGCTCGTTGCATGGAGGAGGTATAAACACGGAGGAATACAGTATCTAGTGGGTTCTGGCACACTGGTGGTACTTGCGTGTCGAGGATACAGCGCAAAAAACAACCGCAAATTCTCCCCAACGGAACATATATCGAAACATGCACCACTACGCAATCGTTTCAATATTTTAGATGACCGGCTCCAACCCCACGGTCTCTTTGGGTGAAAACAAACTTCTTTGTAAATTAACTGTTGTTCCCGCCCCCCCCCGGTTGGTGATGAAAAACATCCTGAACCCTACATGAAATGACGCAAGTGTCCGACGCTCACTATTTCGGGTGATGGACACCGTGCCCAAATCTAAGACACAAGAGGGAGAAGACCAAGACCATATACTTCATCCTTCAGAGGATACGAAGTACTATAGCTGTACTATAACTGTACTAAAAGGCTTGCGCAATGAACGGAGACACCGACGCGTGTAGCACTAAAGGTTACCATGACTCACGGCTGTGCTATCCAAGAGACTCGAGGATGCCAGAAAGCTCGTGTAGCTTCTGTCATCGCATCATCCCCGGCTTCGAATCGAAGGCATAAACGGGGGAACGTAGTGCCCATCCATGCACGACTCTACACCACCGGGCTTACACAAAACAGAAAGAAGCTACAGCCGTAGACTATTATTTAGTAGTACTTGCTTACCAACAAACTCGGGGGAGGAAGGGAGGGTTTGCGTGTCAATCGGAGGGGTGACACGCTCACCAAAACATCGCACCGACAGACAAGTCACGTCACGAGCTCACGGCTTCGGACCAAAAACCTTAATGGCCCCTCCAGCCCCACACTGCTTACACCCGGACGAACTCTCATGATTTATCTAACCTGCACCCGACGCATGAAATTGTGCAGAAAGTACGGATACACACAACTGCCCGAGACATCAAACAATACAGCTCCATGTCCCAAGTGTGTGCGTTTCCGCAAAGCGAAGCGGAGTCGACGTTATGATCATCCCTCTAAAAATGACCCACGCCCGGTATTGCAAGACTGACTCAGGTTTGTGTGGAATCTCTGCCTGCACGTACAGACGACATGAAACCACCCGCGCGCGGAGGTCCCACTTTTTCGACGCCAGGAACCTCATGCTCTCGTGTGCTCCCCTGGTTTGTCACGTGACTCGCCCTCCGGATTCCGTCCGGTAAAAAGAAAAAATACGCGACCGGAGTCAAGGTCCTGTAAACATTTACAAAATCCGCTGCCGACAGCCCGCTCATGCACCAACAGACTGTCTGTCTGTCTGTCCGATTGTGCACCTCATACGCACCCACCTCATCCAACCACACCAAAAAACGAAAGCTCCGTCCTTACGATTGCAACTACTTTAACTGCCTTATCCGGCAGCTAGTTTGGCTGGCATTGTTCACTTAACTTCTTACGCAGAAGCACACCAACACCCACTGCTGTGTACACTTTTCCACCAAATATCGCACCTATATGACATTATCTCAAGACCAAATAAATAGCGTTTGCACCTGCACAGTGCGGATGAGCAAGGATGCAACCCCCTCCGTTCCCCCACCTCTCCACCCACGCAAGAATAGAAAAATACAGCCGAACCGGCACACAGCACTTTGCACACCAGCAAACTGATCGATGTGGACTCACAAGGACTACATAATACACACGCCACGTAATGCCGTGACGGGTGGGGGGGCACCGACCTCACTCTCTGATCGAAATTCGATCAACTTTGTCTCGTCTTCTCCTCAATCTTTTGAGTGCCAACGAGTCAAAACAATTCTTACTCCGGGCTCGGCTCGTCATCCGTGTACACACAACTCGCACCGCCATTTGCCCGCGACACAAACACGATATTTATCGTACGTCACACAAAACAGCAAAGTTAAAGCTGTTGGGCCGAACGTGCGTGTTCTGCCCCCAGCAATTGAATAGCCTAGGCTGCCACACCGCCGTTGGCGTGTTAAAACTCGTAAAAGGGCGATGCGTCCTCCTGTGCGTAGATATTGGCGGTCTTGTACCTGGAAAAAAAAATTGAAAAGAATATACCAATTGACATTCCGGCGGTAGAGCGGGGTTGTGGATGTTTTGAAACGGCGGGCCCTCGTCAATACGATATGCCGCCGACAAGCAAGCATCGTGGTCTCACGGCGATTTACATGTCGAAGAAAGAACAAGTTAGTTTCATGCGCCACAACAGATTTTCCAAATGCCCCCTTCCTGGGGGGGGGGGGGGACTCATAGTCGTGCATGCCGTAGTCGTTAGACCATTGACCTCGCATCCCTACAAAGCCGGGACGGAGCACGCCGGGTTCTCACCGGACCAGGCTCTCACATCACCAAGCGCGAAGCGCCGTGGGGTATTTGGCGAGTCGCATGAAGGGTGAGCTGCATCCTGCTAAGGGTGTTCGGCATCTTGTGCTTAACTTGCGTACGGATGACAGCTACGTATGACTTCATTTATTTTCTGGTGCTTTCACTTCCAGAGACAGTTATAAGCACTGCCGTGTAACTGCCTCGAGGATGCTTGACCATTTTAACACAACGTGGTGCGATCATCCCCGTTGCGCGGAGTGAGGGCTCTCGACCCCGCACAACATGATCTACTCGACCACCATTA